GTATTAGTCACTTTTCTAATGCTGTGATAGAAACACTGACAAAAGCAATCTATAGAAGGAAGAGTTTATTTGAGCTTATGGTTCCAGGGTAATTACAGTCTTTCATGGCAGGGAGGCATAGTGGCTGGAGGTGGCTGGAGCAGGAGCAGCAGAAGCTAAGCTCTCACATCATCACACAGGCACAGGAAGCAAGAGGGCAACTGGAGATCTGGCAAGGCTTAAGACTATAAGCCCACCCCAGCGACATGCTTCCTCCAGAATAGCCACACCTTCTAAAACCTCCCAAAACAGAGCCACCATCTGGGGACAAAAAGTCCAAATACTTGGAGCCAATGGGGGACATTTTCATTCAAACCATCACACTGTCCTACTGCCTCCTTTTCCCAAGTGCTTTGTCTGATCTAGGGTAAAGTAGCATTATTAGATAATGAAAATCTCTATGTAAATGACTAAATAATAGGAAAAAAGACATTATTTTTTGACAGTTTTCATGTATGCATATAATGTATTTTGATCATATTCACCCCTCCCTCCCCATTGCCCTCTTTCACTTAGAAAACTGTTAGATGTGGATATGGTGGCACATGCCTCTAATTCTAGCACTTGGGAGATTGAGATAGGAGAATTGCTCTTGAGTTTGATCCTGGCCTGAGCTGTGTAGAGAATTTGAAGTCAACTTGAACTGATTGTATAATAGCAAGACCCTGCTTCAAAAAGCCAATTAACCAAAAACTTAAGAACAAAAAACCACCAACAGAAAATTCCAATTACTTTAGATCTCTTTATAGTAGTCTTTGTGGTAGAGGACTTGTGGGTGTTTTTGTGCATGTAAAAAGTGGGAAGTAGCAAAAATATGGCATATTCATACTGTGTATATTCTTATAATGTTTTTCACATGTGAATATGTATTAGTTACTTATCTTGCTGCTATGAGAAAATGCCTGGCAGAAACAGCTGAAAGGAGGGAAGGCTTATTTTGCCCCTTGGTTTCAGAGTCACAGTTCATGGGAGCGTTAGGGCAGATGAGGCGGCAAAGGAGAAACTCCAGCCTTCGGAGGCTTATCCCTAGCAACCCACTTTGCTGGTCTGGCCCACAGCATTCAGAATAGCATCACAGCTGGCAACTAATGTTCAAAACAGAAGCCTGTAGAAACATTTTAGATTCAAACCATAACAGAATATTGCTTTTTTTTTTGTTTAAGAAAAGGTTTTGCTCTGTAAGTCAGGTAGCCCTCAAATTTGTAATCCTCTAACCTTAGAATCCTAAATTGCTAGCATCTCCAGTGTAGACAAGTGGGTGTCTCAAAGACACATAGTTCACCTGTAAATGTTTCTATAGACACTCAGGTAATAGAGCTCCATAAATACAATAAATTTCATTTGGACATTGTTGTAATTTCCTCATTTTATTATTTAAAGATTTTTGAGTACCTATTATGATGTGTAGGATTATGTGGAACTGCCTCAATTTTTTGGATTAGGAGTTGACAGCTTTAAAGGATCAGATAGTAACTATTTTAGGTATATATGAGTTACTGTCTCTTCTTTTCCCTCACTTAAAATTTGTGATGATAACTTGTTGCTCCTACATAGCGCATAGACTGGGAACTATATTCAGCCTGTACATCCTAGTTTGCCAGCTTCTCTTCTAGAAGAATAAAATTTAATCCTTCAACTGTTATTTAAACGTTTTATTTTTTTAATATTTAAAAACCTTATTTTATGTATTTGAGTGTATTATCTGCATATGTGTAAGTGTACCCTTGACATGCAATGCCTGAGGAGGTCAGAAGAGGTCATTGGATACCCCTGGAACTGGAGTTAAGGATGGTTGTTTGCTGCCATGTGGGTGCTGGGAATCACAGAATGATTCTAAACCTTTGCCTCTAGTGACTCTGCCTGATCTCCTTGGTGTAGCAACCTATGTGGTCAACACTCTCCCTTCCAGCCAACTCTTGTCATCACCACAGGATGAAACCTTATCTGAAGTCAGGGTTCAGAGAGTTACAAAAATGGAGAAGAGGGTGGTTTGTGTGAGTCTAGAAGCTGGTGGACTTCCTAGTTTAGATTTTTCCTTCTAGCGGTTTCTCCTTGGTGTGTTACTTTGTCTTAGAAGGGTGTTTCATTTACTTTTAAGATCCGTGAACTGCCAATGACCTCCTTGCATTACTTACAAATTATAGCTTGTGAAGCTCCATCTCAGAATTTTGTGCGGTTTCACATCAAGAAGGACCCCTTGAGTTTGGAGGGTGAAAAGTAGAGGGTAATAGCTATAGGCCACTTGATTCTGGGAGTCCGGTCCTTGGGCTATTCTCTTTTTTCTTACTGTTCCTGATACCATGTTCTGTTATTGGTGCTTGGCCTCAACTTCTCATATTTGGGGATCATGAAGGATACTTTGTCAGTTAATTATGTTGTATTTGTTGCCATCATTTTGTTTAGGTTTGGTTTGGTATGTTTATTTTTTTCTCTTAGTTGCTCTGTCTTTTGGGGGTTGGGGCAGGCAGCTACAGATACTAAAGAATTCGGTCTCTTGGGGCTGGAGAAGATGGCTCCAGTTAAGAGCACTGACTGCTCTTGCAGAGGACCCAGGTTCAATTCCTAACACCCACATGGCAGCTAACATCTGTCTGTAATTCTAGTTGTAGGGGATCCGACATCCTTTTCTGACCCCTGCAGACATTGCATTGACGTGGGTACACTTAATGCACATGCAGGCGCAACACACTCATATGCATAAAATAAAAGTAATAGGCTGGGCGTGGTGTAACACACTCATATGCATAAAATAAAAGTAATAGGCTGGGCGTGGTGCAACACACTCATGCATAAAATAAAAGTAATAGGCTGGGCGTGGTGGCACACGCCTTTAATCCCAGCACTCGGGAGGCTGAGGCAGACGGATCTCTGTGAGTTCAAGGCCAGCCTGGTCTACATAGTGAGTTCTAGGCCAGCTGGGGCTACTGGGAGACCCTGTCTCAGAAAAGACGCCCCCCCCCCCAAAAGAATATTTTTAGGAAAAGAATTAGGTCTCTTTAATGGCCATGTTGTCAACAATGCATCATCCTTCTTAAAATAAATACTCTAAATATAATTTAAAAATAACATTGAGTGACAGGTAGGTTTTTGGTCATGTACTGTCTGGGGGGATTAGAAATTAAGAGACTGAAAATGCAAAAAACAGATTGGAAAAACTAATGAACATATTTGTGTTTCTCAGGTGATCAGAAGGCTCGATATAAAAGCCTTCTAGTAGAAAAGGCTTTGGTAGAAGGAATAGAGTTGGATATAGCAAGAGGGCAGTGTAAACAGGAAAGGGAAAGAGGTGAGATATCCTTTAGAACTGTTAAATTTGTAATCTTTGTTAGCAAGCTGAGGAATGTACATCTGGTATCCTTAATTTTCTTTTTAATTTTTTTTCCCCTTGAGACAGTGTCTCATGTAGCCCAGGCTGTCCTGGAACTTGCTATGAAGCCAAAGATGGCCTTGAACTCCTGATCCTCCTACCTCTACCCTCTTGAGTGCTGGAATTACAGATGTGCACACTACACTTGACTTTTCTTAGAAAAATTTAATGTGAGTTTATCTGTAAGAGAAAGTAAGTTTAGGGGACTTAAAGAAGATAGTAAAAATTTCAACTGGTATAGTGAGGAATGGGAGCAGTATCTAACCAATGGGGGTAAGGGCTGAGTGATGCATTAGCCTATGTTAGGATTTCTGCAGTGCAGGCATTAGAGCATAAGAGGTTAAGCAGCTGAGTCATGATAAAAGAGAATGTTTCAGGGGATGCATTTTGAGATATTGGCTGCCCAGAGAAGGAAATCAGTACCATTTAGATGCTGATGAGTTAGAAACAAAAAGGGAGATTTCAAAGGACTCTTGACCAGGTCTAGAGGAGATACGGGGGTGGGGCGGAAGGAGAAAGAGAGCTGGATAATCAAATGAGGCTAAGGTAGTATATTGGAACTTAAAATTTCAGAGCTAGAAGAGCTGGAGAGGTGGCTTAGTGGTTAAGAACACTGGCTGTGCCTGCAGAAGACCTGGGTCTGAATCTCAGTACCCACATGGCGACTAACAACTATCTAACTCCAGTTCCAGGGGATCCAATGTCCTTTTCTGTCCTTTGTGGGGATTGTACAACACGGGTGCACTTACATACATGCAGGCAATACGTGCATACACATAAAATAAAAAATAAATAAAATATTAAAAACAAATGTCAGAGCTAGAGTAGTTCCAGTTTGTTATAAAGACCATTTTATAGCTATGAGAGTACCCTGATGAAAAGTACAGATGGAAGTGGAGTATGTTGTGATAAGTGTAGCCCACTGCTGATAAAGAAATCTCCGTCTCTCTGTCATCCTGTAGCGATGACAAGAGTTGGCTGGGAGGGAGAGTGTTGACCACATAGGTTGCTACACCAAGGAGATCAGTAGATGCAACCTTATCTGAAGTCAGGGTTCAGAGAGAGTTATAAAAACGGAGAAGAGGATGGTTTGTGTGAGTCTAGAATCTGGTGGACTTCCTAAAGTCTGTTTGAGATTCATCAGTGTCACTTCCAGGCATTGGCCAACTTCTTGAAGGGTCCAGGTAGTAAATATTTTAGGATATGCCATGTACGTATGGTTTCTGTTGCATATTCATAATGTCTACCTTTTAACTGTTTAAAGATATAAAAGCAATTTTTGTTCATGGGTCACATAAAAGCAGGAGGTGGTAGCAGTTTTTATTTTGCTAATCTATAATTATATCATACTTTTCTGTCACTACTCAGTGGTAGTTTATTTTGTAAATTTTATGTATAGTTTTTCAGGCCATCCTTTGTTCTTGGGTAAGAGTAGCTTTGAGTCAGAAAGTGTTAAGACAGTAATGTGTATTTATTTTTAAATACTGCCAGTAGAATTGATTTACAATGCTCAGTGTGGTAATTATTTTAAATTTCTGAACATAGCTTTTCTCTCTCTTTTTTTTTTTTTTTTTTTTTTTGTGGTGGATTCAAGTTGAGTCAGCAGATACTTGAGTTATTTGAAACTTGTCAGCAGCAAGTAAGTGACCTAAAGAAGAAAGAGCTCTGTAGAGCACAGCTGCAGAGAGAGATTCAGCTGCTGTTCCCACGTACGTTTCCCTGTTTGCATGCCTTATGTCTGCATTCCCATTAAAAAACTTCAGAATATCTTACAGTTTCCTTCTGTTTCTAGAAAGCAGACTCTTTTTGGTTGGGTCCTCTTTAAATGGATTTGGTGCCCGGAGCAGCGATGGTGATTTATGCCTAGTTATTAAAGAAGAACCAGTAAGTGATGAAATATTATTCTAAGTGTTTCTCATATTATATCAGTGCAGGAATTTCATGTAAAAGGCATTGAGGAATGGAACTTGCTTTATTTTAATTAATTCTGTGGGTTTTCTGTTTATCCTAATTTTAGGACTTTTTTTTTGTTGTTTAAGGCACAAGCATCATGTTCATAAAAGCAACTCCAGCAATAATTACAAGTTGTTAAAGTTAGCTAGCTTCTCTGTGTGTCTTTTAAAGCGCTTTGCCTCTATTTTGAAATGTCATTGGGTTGAATGTTTGTCAGGATGCAACAAAGAAGAGCAGGTGGTGGTATTATCTTGATGCATTTTCTTCCTATTTGAATTCTCAGTGATCCCTTTTAAAATCTTTATCCCCCCACCCCTTGAAAATGCTATGGGCTTTTGAGATTTTGCTTTGGGAAAACAAAAAACGGTTTCAATGGAATTTAAGAATACTGTGATTTATATGAAATACATTTTCTTCTAAGATACTGACTTAGTTTTTGTCAAGTTTAATTGCGTTATTTAGAATTATTTGAATTTCTTATTAGTTGACTTCTTGAGTATATCTTAATACCATGATAATTGGTGTTCAGTAAAATGACCCAAAGTAGCCTCTTTTAGTGGCTGAGGTCTTTTTTTTGAACTACCAGAATTTTTGATTGAATGAATTACAATTTTAATATTTTTTACTGTGCTTCATATTCTTAAAAATGCAAAAAAAACCCTGTTGGTTTGTAATGTATATTTTTACCCTTCTAGTTACTATAAAAGAGAAACAGATTTATTTCAGGAAAGAAATTCTTTTAATTAAGAAAGGGGGCGACAACTCCTCAAATTAGGAGTATAACAGAGTCAAGCTATACAATTAGTCTGTGCTTAGGCACACCCCGCTAACTCTGGACTGAGTCACAGGCTTGAGTCATGTTGTCATAGCTTATACTCAAATCGAGACACTGTAGACAGAATTTGCGCATAAGCACTTCACATTCTTGATAAGAAAATAAAACATGGTGAGAAAGTTCAGATTCTGTTAATTTTTGTTGGAGAGGATTTTTTAAAAGACATTAATACCAAGGAGAAAAATGATGTGACTGTTTTTTTCTTGAAAGAAAATTGGTTTTGAAAGAGAGTGCTAAGAGTTGGCTTTTTCTATAATAATGTATGTTTTGAAAAATAGCTCCAAAGAAAAGTGTATGTTATCTTTTTTTGTTGTTATTTTTTAAAAAATTAAACACAAAGCTAAGAAAAATATTGAAAAAGCACTTTGACTTTTTAGTTTTTTTTTCAGGTGAATCAGAAGACTGAAGCACGCCATATACTCACCTTAGTCCATAAGCACTTCTGTACTAGACTTTGTAAGTCTCACATGCCTCAATTCGCATGCCTTCTGATGTAACTGTTACTTAAAATGTTGGTCTCTTTATTTTCTGGTAAGAATTGTTTATTCTTTTGATGAGAATAGATAATAGTGTGTATTATTTTCTTTCAATTAAATTATTTTTAAATTATTGTTTCTTTTTAAGACAGGGTCTTGCTATATAAATATATATAGTCCAGGCTGGTCTTGAACTTGTGATCCTCCTGCCTCAGCCTCCTGAGTTCCAGGATTACAGGTATGTACTGCCATAACTATCTCCTTTTATCTTCTGGCTAAAAAGCATGATTCATGATTCAGCAAATCATTATTGACTTTACTTGAAAAAATATCCTTGTGAAGGCATTGTGAGATTTGAAGATACATATGCTTTACTTCTTTTTCTCAAAAGGTGATAGATGTTTTGAAACTTAGGCATGAATGAACAGCTTTCAGGCAAGTGTGAATAATGAAAAATATGATACAGATAAAGTCTTGTGATATTCTTGTTAGGGGGAGAATTTCATCTGTTTTATAATAATGTATGTATCTTTACTTATTTTTAAAATGTGACCCCTGAACATAAGGCCCAAATGAATTACTCTAACAGAAGGCAAAATTGTTGAGTTAGGCCATTTTATTGTAAGGTTTTTAAAATATAAGCTGGCTCTAAATTTTAAAGTATAAATCTTCCCATCACATATTAATTTATTTTAAACTTGCATGGAATGTTAAAGACCATTGAAATTTTATTTTTATTTACTATGCAGTGCTGGAAAGATTTTTGTCAATTTAACAAATAAAGGCTTTGAACTGAAAAATATAAGGTTAAGTAGCAAGTTACTGCCCTTGAGTAACTTGATTTATTAAGTAGGAGAGAAAAAAATCAGTTGATTTATTGGAGTGGTTATAGGTTATTTTATCTGTAAATTAAAGGGATAATTCATACCTTACATAGATTTCAAATAACTCTTACTATATCATATTTACAGTTGAAGTGGCTTTATGGATCATCTAACTCAAATACAGACTATGTTTTGTTTTGTTTTTGCTTATTATTTTAAATAGTTGAGGAGACTGGTGGTCATTGGGTTTAGCAATTTGCCTCCAGAGCATAGTTAGTTGGTATCAGAGCCTGTGTTAATACTGAAAATTCTTAATCTTATTTTTAGTTAGAGCTCACTGAATTCTTACACATAAATTCTATTTTGCGGTGTTACATAATCTTGATGATTAAAACCTAATAGGGGTCTAGGGAGATGGATTAGTCAGTAAAGTACCTGCTATCCAAGCATGAAGACCTGAGTTCAGATCCCTAGCACCCATGGGGAAAAAAACCCTTGGCATGCTAGCTCATGTCTGTAACCCCAGTACTCACAGTCTGGGGGGAGGGGGCAGAGACAGAAAGAAGGATCCCAGTGCTCTCTGGCTAGCTTATCCATCAGTGAATACCAGCTTGTCTCAAAAAATAAGATAGAGAATGATAGAGGACACATGATTTCCACCTCTGGCTTCTACAGATGTGTACTTACACATGCTTGCACACAATCCCCTGCTCCCTCAAGAAAAAAAAAGTGACAGAAAATGTTCAGCTTTTATAAAAGAAAATATGGGCCAGGCATGGTGGCGCACACCTTTAATCCCAGCACTTGCGAGGCAGAGGCAGGCGGATCTCTGAGTTCAAGGCCAGTTATTTTGATATATCACAGTGAAAGATTTATCGTCCTCTTTTTTTTTTTTTTTTTTTTTTTTTTTTTAAAAAAAAAAAAAAAAAAAAAAAAAAAAAAGGAAAGAAAGAAAATATGGTACTCTATAGTTAAAAAATTAGAACACTCCTCCTTTGGGAAATATTTGCTGAATTTCTTTAAAATATTTTTCTGTGTGTGTGTGTGTGTGTGTGTGTGTGTGTGTGTGTGTCTGTCTGTCTGTCTGTCTGTCTGTCTGTGTCTGTGTCAGGGTCTGTACCTATGAGTACAGGTGCCCATGGGGGCCAGAGTGTTGGATCTCTTGGAGTTGGAGTTACAGGCAGTTTGTGAGCTGCTGGTTGTGGGTACTGGGACTGAACTCAGGTCTTCTGGCAGAGCAGTATGTGCTCCTAACCACTGAACCATCTCTCTAGCCTTTTCAAAAATATTTTTGTTACTAATTTTCTGCAATTATATGTATTGTTTTCTACTCAATTTTTTATAGCTTTGATGAAATAAAAAGTTTGTATGTGTTTTTTGGTCTTAGAGATAATTCTTAATCAAATGTATTCCTACCTAACCACATTGGAAGCATATTTACATTGTAACTGGGATGTCTATGCTACCATTTCTTACTGTGTTCCATAACACACTTTAGCTATCTTCCTACTTTCAGCTGTTTTTTCACTCTTATGTTCTAATGAATATCTTTATAGATACCACTAGATATTAGATGATATTTCTGAAAAAAAAATCTTAAAGCCTTTTTATATAGCATAGACTTCAATTTTAGAAGGACTTAATAATGTCCTCATTTCTTCACTTTTTCAAGGACAACAGTTTTTTAGAGTTTTTTTAGCTTAATAAAATACTGTTTAAAAATGTGCACTAGAATATTATGAATTTTTGAAGCATTGGCAGATGTTCATATTATCTTCTACCCTTTAGCTGGCTACATTGAGAGGCCTCAGCTGATTCGTGCAAAAGTGCCAATAGTGAAGTTCAGGGATAAAGTCAGGTACGTAATTTCTGACCTTTCTTTTTTTAGTTGCTTTAGGTTATCTTTGGCTGGCTTTCTAGTGTAAATAGCCCCTCCCCCAAAAAAATTATAGCACAGAGGCTTACTTCAAGGTTTTAGAAATCATTTGGTCTTAGAAATGATTTTTTTCATGACAGTCTCTTGTATCAGGCTAGCTTTTAACTTGTTATGTAGCTGAGGATAGCTGTGAACATCCAGCTCTCTTGCCTCTACCTCCCAAAAGTTGCGATTGTAGATGTGTGCCACAACATTTGGTTTTACTGAAATAAAAAAAAAAAAAAAGTTAGTCTGGGCAGCCTTCTTATACCTAACTGAACTTAATTCTTCTGCTTGATTTGAGTATTTGGGACTAATTTTAAAAGTGTGTACCTATTTTTTATTTGGGTGCTAAAATGATCTCTTGCCTTTTGGAAGTATAGTACACTTCCCAAAACATATCTTATTGATGAGATTTGATATTTATATTCAGGGTTGTGTTTGTAAATATGTGTCAATAAATGAATTATATTTCACTTTAGTGAAAGATATAAGCAATACCAGAGTAATAGACAGAAAAGCTGTAAAATACACTTACTCCATTTCAAACTTTAGATTTTTTTCTACATATTCTCCCTAGTCTGGGCTCTGAATTTCTTAAGAATATTGGATTATAATTTTTTATATAATATCTAAATGTAAAAATATAAATGGTACAAGCAAGAGTTGTATTCCTGGTAGTTGGGAGGCTAGCTGGAGGATCATGAGTTCAAGTCCAGCTTTGTCTCCTAGTAGATCTCTTCCTTAAAATAAATGAACAAAGAAACAAAACATGAAAGGTTAAGTGTTGATTATTTAATTTGTTTAAAAAGTTTATTTTCTAAAAATAGCTTTGTGACAAAGTGGGTTTTTTTTTTTTTTTAGCTTTGTTTTGTCATAATACTGAAATTACATACATATATAGAATTGAGCTTTCTTATTCATGAATTTTGTATTTAAGAATTGTTTACTTGCTGAGTGTACTTATATCCCTATCTTGTGCAAGGTGTGACAAAAATTTGGAGGTAGTCCATCACTTATGTTTTCAGCTAAGGCTGAAAAGGGTAGCATTGTGTCTTGTTTTAATTCATACTGCACACCAATGCCTCTTATAGTCTGGTTCATTCTTTTTCACTGTTTAGAATGGCCCTCAAGCTTAGTACTGGGGTATTTTGTCTTATGTTCCTAAGTATAAGAAGACTGTGATATGCCCTATGGAAGAAACATGCTAGATGAGTACTGAATTCATGTTTTTGATAAAAAAAAAAAAATCCCCCCAGTGCCAGAGAATATTCACACAGGGTCTTACACATGCTAGGCAAGTAATCTACCACTGAGCTATATTGCCGGCCCCTTGGAAAAGTTTGTAATGCTAGACAGATTTCTACCTAAGTTGTTTGTTTGTTTATTTAGGTTTCTGTTGAGTTATGTAGAGATGTGTAAACTGACTTTGGTGTTTCTTACACAAGCATAATTAAAGATTGTAACTGTTGTTATAAGTTTCCCAAAGCCAGTCATATGTATATCTGAAGTGCTAATACCACTATTCATTTTATTATGAGCAAGAATAAGGGAATACCTATAAGAGTTCTTTGGCTCCCCCAAACAGGAAAATCTTAAGGTAAATTTCAAATTTTGTAAGCTAGATAGGAATTATTTTAAATAATTGATTAATTTATTCTGAGGCAAGATCTTGTACATGGCTCAGACTATTTTCAGACTTGAAATTCTTCTGCCTTGGTCTTCCATGTGCTAGATTATAGGCATGTATCACCACTGCAAGTCTGGAATTTTGTGATTTGAGGTAGTTAAAAAAATTTTTTTTGCATTATTGTTTGTGTGTGTGTGTGTGTATGCGTGCAACAATATTACAGTGCATGTGTAGAGGTGAGGACAACTTGTCAGTTCTCTCCTTTTACCATGTGGGTCCTGGTAATTGAACTCAGGTCATTGATCTTGGTGGCAAGCGCTTTTACTCGATGAGCAATCTTATTCTCCCTTTTATTAATCTTTTCTTAGAAAAATTTAGTATTTAGAAGAAATTAGATCTTATAGTATATGGGTATCAGAGGAACTGGGTTTATATAGAGTATTTCTTCCTTACTTGTAGACTATATTATTGCCTTATTTTCTAAGTTAGGAGTTGTGTAGTATGTTTGCTTTCAAAGAAGTAACCCATTGGTAATTTTTTTAGTATTGTTGCTCTTACGAGGTTACCAGTACCTACATTTGACACCTACATTTAGAGGGAATATAATGTATGATATAGCCGTTATTCTTTTAGTTTTTTGACCTGCATTTTCTTTGGCTTTTTAATGCTTTGAGAATATATAACTTAGTGGAATGTTTTACCCAGGAATGTTTTGGGTCATCTGATTTTATCTAGAAAAGATTACATGATTTTATTTGTTATCATTTTTTATTTTTATTTTTTTAATGTGTATGAATATAATCCCTGCATGTGTCTAAGTGCACCCATGTCGTGCATTGCCCACGGAAGTCAGGAGAGGGTGTTGGATCCCCTGGAACTGGAGTTATGGATGGTTGTTAGCCACCATGTAGATGCTGGGAATTGAGCCCGGTCCTCTGCAAGAGAAGTCAGTGCTCTTAACTGTTGAGCTATCTCTCCAACCCCCATATTACAAGATTTTAAAACTTCATTTGGGGTACTTAAAGACATCAGTATGTTTTGGATCTTTTAAATAGTCATCTTAGTTTATATTTTTAATATATACCAAGTCACATTAAATTATATACTAAGTATGTATGTATTTTTATTTCTTCAGTGTCTCATTTTAAAATCATAGATCTATGGCTTTTAATTACATGCTATTTTACATCATTGGCTAGATTGGTGTTAATTTACTGAAACGAGAGTGATTATTTGTCCTTGGGCTAAAGTTTGCTTTTCTTTGTTCTTTTAAATAGTTGTGTGGAATTCGACTTGAATGTAAACAATACTGTTGGAATTAGAAATACATTCCTTCTCAGAGCTTATGCATATCGTAAGTTTTTGGTTTATTTCTAAATAACCATCAACTTCTGTTTTTTCTATATTTTCTATTTTTTTTAACAGATGTTTGTAGTAAATAGTAGAACTCTCTCAAGAATATTGTATCTTAATTTTTGTGTAATGTTACTACAGTAAAATCATATGCTATTATAGTTAAATTAAGTGTATTTAAATAAATGATAGTTTTCAAAAGGTAACTAAACTACTGAGTAACATGGTATTGCTTCTTATTGGCATGGAATTGGGAAATTATATATATTTTCAAAGGAACTGTGGTATCACTATTTTAAATTTTAATTTTACTTGCAGTTGAAAATCGAGTTCGTCCATTAGTGCTGGTGATTAAGAAGTGGGCAAGTCACCATGAGATAAATGATGCCAGTCGTGGTACTTTAAGCAGCTATAGTCTTGTATTGATGGTTTTGCACTATTTACAAAGTAAGTATTATGAAAGGTTTATTACTTTTTAAAACAAATTCAGTTAGATCTCATTGTATCTTTTCTGCTTATCTCCAGGTTGTATTGTTTTAAAAAGTTTTTTCTAAGACCTTTAAAACTATCTTATTTTGTTGTTTTGAATTAATGTTCAAGAAGTTTTATTCTCGCTGGATGTGGTGGAGCACACCTTTAATCCCAGCACTTGGGAAGCAGAGGCAGGTAGATCTCTATGAAATAGAGGCCAGTCTGGTCCACATAACAAATTCCTGTCAAGCTGAGGCTACAGGGGACCCTGTTTCCAAAAAAAATCCCCAAAATTTGTTTTCTGGAAAACATTGTGAAGTTTAATGTGCTTTGGATAATTTTCCAAATTATTCACTTTTGTATTTAAAGAACTTTGACCCCCATATTATTGACTCATTATTTTGAAGCAGATGAATGCTTTAAAGAACTATAAAAATAGCCAAAGCATCATTTATTATTTTTTGAGACAGAAATTAAATGATATTCTTATTGACCAGTGAAGCTTATAATCCCCTTTAGCTGCCTCTTCTAAACCAGATTTTTTCCTTGTAGGACTATTATGTCAGATTGGCCTCTAGTATGTGAGGGTGACATCACTCTTTTGATGCCAGGTTGATTTGGATAATGTGACTTTACCATTTCCTCTCTCACTACTTCATGTGTATCTCTTTGGAGTTGCACACTCAAATCAAAGAGGATGCCCTTCCCTAATAAAGGGAAACCACTCTTGGGTCAAGCATATATGAAAAGCTGTGTTTCTCTGCTGAACCTCCAAGTCAGCTCTAAATTCCAGATTGGCTTCCAGATTTTTAGTATAATCCATTAGTAGTTGGTTATGAGGTCATTTTGTTAAAGCCATATTTTTATTCCATGTATAGTGGCAAATTGTAATAAATGAGAATTTGTAATTTTGCCATTTCATAATATAGTTATGAACTCTTTTAAGTATTGAAGGTTCTCCAGAAATATAGCACAGACTGGCTAGATCTGGTTGGAACCTTTACTTTGATTTAATCTTTTATATACACAGTCCAAGAAATAACATATCTTAAATGTTTTACTCTGCTAAACACTAAGATATTAAAGAGAAAATTAAAGATCTATAGTTATCAGAACCAGGGGTGTGAGATATGTAAGGACTGACCAACCCACTTAATGTATAATATTTGAGGACAGATTAGAAGAAAGTCTTGATGCTGATTTGGCTAGATGTTTTGTCAGGATGACTAGGGCCTGTTTTGGGTTGATATTTCCACAGTTTCGAATCTTGATTTTTAAAGATTATACAAATGGAGGAGGGTGTTTTAGCACTCATTATTCATTCCATGAATGTTGCCACTAAAGAAATGCAAGATTTTGCTTTAGAATATATAAATATAGTCAACAAAAATAAAACTGATTTTTCTTCATGGAGTTTACATTCTCGACATGTAAAATGTGTAATATTTTACAAAATGTAATATTTTACGAAATTATGAAATATTTTACGAATATTTTACAAAACAAATTACGAAATTTGTTCCCTACCAAAATAAGACTTATTAACTAGGTATAATGGTGCATGCCATTAATCCTAGAATGTAGCTGCTTTAGTAAGGAAGATTTTGAGTTTGGAGCCAGTCTGGGATTCAGAGCAAGACTGTCTCTCAAAAAATAAAAACAAACCAACACAAAACAATGGCATATACAAAGAACGGTTATAACCGATGGGTCACCAATAAACTGTTACCTTTTTACCACAACGTATGAGTTGCTTGCCTGACTGGAGCTCACTGTCAGTATCAAGCGGTCTGTAACTAATTATTCTGGTATAGTGATTTAAAAAACAAAAAACAAAAAACCAACTAAGTTTAATTGTGTTGCTTAGTGCTTTTTAAATTTTTCTGAAAGAGATATTAGTTAATACCAGCACTTTTGTTAGAGGCAGAAAAAATACAGAACTTGGAAAGTTGAGATGATGTGGTTCCCTTACAGCAGTGTTTCTCTGCTGAGGATACTGGGAATTGGGAAAAGGAGAAGGCACATTTTTCTGGGTGTGTGTCAGATCATCAGGATTGGGCAAACGTGGTATGGGTTGTCAGAAGTTTTGTTTTCAAAGGTCTGGTCTTACACCTTTTCAAAAGTCTTATACTAGTGTAAGAAATAATGTGTTTGCAGTGAATGAATGAACAAAGCTATTTCTGAGTTTTTCAATATCTGCATTTTAATCAGTAGAAGCAGGAGTAAAATTCCTGATCACATAGTTAATTTTGTCCTTTTGTTTCAGAATTACTATATTTATGTTTTAGTAATATTAAAATTAAAATGCTAAAATTTCACTTTACATTTTAAATTTAGTTTGAATAAGTCATGTATATATATTAGAGAACCTTGAAAAAGGATAAAAAGAAAAAGTAGACATTATATTTTCATATCTAGCATTATTTTTGTTAATATTTGTTTTATTTTTGCCAATTTTCTTGGAATAGGGTTTCAAAATGTGCATCTATCCAAACATTAAGTGCCAAGTTTGGTTCTGTTAATTCCAGTTTTGGGGACAAATGAATTACTATAGGGAATATATAGTTTTTGTTTCTCCTCTGCAAAAACTGATTTTCTTAAATAAATAGTGGCCTTATACTTTCTTTTACATATGCATTGTGGCATTATTCCAGACTTTTAGATTTTAAGGGATAGTAAAAAAAAAAAATCCTTAGAATTTTTATTTTGACGTGATATCAGAACCAAGAAACCACTGCTGACTATTACTGTAACTTCATAAAAAATGATATGTATTAACACCCAAAAAGTTACACTGGACATCAGTAACAGAATTTCAAAACAGTGTAATTGTAATTTCTTCCCCACATCAGACAAATACTTCTTTTTCTCAGTTTATCACAGCCTAGAAACTTTTGTGGTGGGAATTCTGGAGTGATTATTTTGCCCTTATTTAGTGGGCATAGACAGCATTTAACATGCATAAGCATCTATGATATATGCCCTATCCTTCCATTGTTACTGGTAACATTAAAATTTTTAATTTGGTTGGCTTCTTTAGAAAAAAAACTCTTTAAGTAGAGGTGCATTAAGATGGTTTGCAAACAAATAGAAAATTCATCAGGTTAGTATTTTGCCGGTATGATACAATCATGTTGATTTGGTCTCTGTATTGTGAAACTTTTGATTTTGTTTTTTTGACAAAGGGCTCTCATTTGCTAATTGATGTCTTTTGTGTTTAATGACACTATTATCAGCTATTTCTAGGTCAGTCTTGAAGGACATGTTACTAATGTGTAATTCTGTACTGGCCAGTTTAATCGCCATCAAAAAAATAGGTATTGGCTTTCTTGGTAATCTTATTCGGTGGGAAAATGGCATACTAGAGACTGGAGGTTGAATTATGCGGTTCAGCCTCTTGCACAGAGGATTCATTTTTGTGATATTGATCAAATTATTACCTCTCTCTTGCCTTCATATTCTTACCTGTAGCACAAGTTGTTGAATGATGACTTTTGTTTAACTTCCTTAGTGTTTTAATATGTTTTCTGCCATGAACAGAGGAAGGAAATGTCTTTAAAATATATAGAAAGATTAAAATTTAAGACCAAAGCATTAGGGCTGGAGTGATAGCTCAGCGGTTAAGAACATTGGTTGTTCTTGCAGAAGACCTCGGTTCAAATCCCAGCACCCACATGGCAGCTAAAAACTGTCCGTAACTCCAGTCCCAGGGGATCCAGCAGCCTTTTCTGACCTCTGCGTTGCATGACACAGGCCTACATCCAGGCAATACATGCATACACAAAAAAAAAAAAAAAAAAAACCCAAAGCATTTCTTTCAATATATTTCATTAATCAGTTAATATACTACATATTTCAAAAAATGACTGATCAAAGCTTGAGAGGAAAAATATTGGGGAGACATTTTAAAGACAATTTTAAAGAGTAAGAGATGATAAGGTAATATTATTAATTGGGTAGAAATGAGAAGAATTAGTATTCATGATCAGCTAGCGTGTTTCCTAGGACTGTCTTGAAGCCATTTTAAAACTGTTCTGCATTTTGATAATTAGTGATTACTTAATATTAGTGAAGATATGCTCTCTTAATAACTGGGTTTTTGGTAAATAATTATGGAATGTTTGGGGGTATAAGTTTTTAGGAGCCTGACCAATACACTCTTATCAAGGCATTACCTGTTAGTCATATAATGAAATAATGAGCTTTTCATCATTTGTGCTTAGTTTACTCTCACAAGAGAAATTTAAAAATGAACTTAGTCCAAAATTAAGTCAAAATAGATCATATAGCTAGATTTTTTTTTTCAGAGTTTATGTTGCACTTGAATAGGGTATTTTTAAAATTACAAAACTCAGGGCTGGAGAAATGGCTCAATGCTGACTGCTCTTGAAGAAGACCTGGGTTCGATTCCCAGCAGCCACCTGGTGGTTAACTGTCCATAATTCCAGATCCATAGGATTCAGTGCCCTCTTCTGACCTCTGTGGACATTGCACAACCCAGGTACACTTACATACATGCAGGTAATATACTTGTACACATAAAATAAAAATAAAAACTGGGCTGGAGAGATGGCTCAGCCATTAAGAACACTTGCTGTTCTTGCAGAAGACCCAGGTTCGAATCCCAGTACCCACATGGCAGCTAACAACTGTCTGTAACTCCAGTTCCAACAGCCTCTTCTGTCCTCTGTGGGCATTGCAGGACACGGGTGCACTACATGCAGGCAATACACACATACACATAAAATAATAAAAAAATATTAAAAAAATAAAAGCTTAAAAAAATAATTCAAAATTAGAAAATTCTTTGAGGCTGTCATCAGGATAGTGCTTATAAATAGCTGTGTTATAAATACACTTATTGCTTCCTTAATGCCAAAGGTTAATCAGTCTTTAAGATTGTAAGGCAAAGAAATTGATGAATGATATCCTTGCTTCTAAAAGCCTCTAAAATTGCTAAATATTTAAAGGCCCTTTTGTTCTTTGAAAGACTAAGCCCAGTGGTTGGTTCCTCCCCCCCCTGGCATTCTAAATACGATTCTAGAATGTGATAAAAATTGTCTTTATTTATTTATTTATTTTGAGACAGGGTCTCCCTGTAGCCCCAGCTGTCCTGGAACTCACTATGTAGACCAGGCTGGTGGTCTCTGCTGGTATTAAAGGCGTGTACCACCACGCCAGGCTGAATTTTTTACATTTTTCTCTTTATCTTTTGCTTTATAATAGTTTTAATTCATGGGGTATTTAATGGAAGGAATTCAGATTTTTTTTTTCAGTAAACTAATTTCTAGGAAAGGTCTTGCAATTTTACTTCTGTATTATGAAATTTACTAGAAAGACATTACAAAGTAATATACAGATATAGACATTTAGAATTAAAGTAACTGCGCCTGAATTGACTTGGGGGTCTTATAGAATGATGAGCATTTGAATGCCTTTTGGGGAAGAACATGTATCTGTGTATATATAACCTTACTTCCTAGAGTACTTTTGATTAGTAGTGAATGAAGTTTTCCCTTCTGTTCCCATTTACACTCTGTATACATTCATATTCCAAAATTTTATTCTATTGCAATTTTAAACTTAGATATGAAGCATACAAAAGGGGGGGGTTTAAACAGCATCGTACTCTGAACTACATGTTATGCCTTTATACCTTTATAATTTCAGGTGGAGGCTGTATAAGTTGGTCATAATGCTTTGATTACATACTTGTTAATATATCCTAAAGATAATTTAAAAATTTTGTTGTGTTTTGCTAGACAATGAAATTTTGTTAGACAAATGATTTTTGTTACTGAGTTTCAATTTTATACAATATATTCCTAATTCTTTTTTTTTTTCGGTCTTTTTGAGAAAGGGTCTCTGAGTAGTGGGCCTGGCCTGGAACTTACTATGTAGATCAGGCTGGCCTTGAACTCACAGAGATCCACCTTCCTCTGTCTCGAGTGCTGGGATTAAAGGTGTGCACCACAATGCCTGGCTGATTCCTAATTCTTAAATACAAAGTTTGTTATATGATACTATGTTTGATTTCTAGTATTAAAGAAATCTTTGGAATATATTATATTTTACTACTCTCAAGACATATTTTAGAGTTACTATGTTGTGAATAACTGGTACCTTGTCTTTTATATTTATAATGACATGAAATTATTGTTCACATTTAATGAGATTGGATTTGTTTAACATTATTGACTGGTAAAAATGATTTAAAGAAAAAACGATAGTAGGTTGGGAATCTAGCTCAGCTGATAACATTGCTTGCCTAGCATGCATGACGCCCTGGGTTCTATCCCCAGCACTGCATAACATGGGTGTGGTGATGCATTCCTGTGATCCGAACACTTGGGAGGTGGAGGCTGGAAGACCAGAAATTCAAGGACATTCTCAGCTACATAGTGAGTTTGAGGTCAGTCTGGTTTACATGAGACCCTACCTTTAAAAATAAAATAAAGAAAAATTAAAAATGATGACAACCTCTGGATAATAATTCCCTTGGGTGATTTTATATATATGGGAAAGTTGTGCACATTTGCTCATTTAGATTTCTAATCTTTGCTGAAGTAGTCTTTAAACAACATTATTATTAAGTTGAAAGTGATTTTTTAGTTTTGTTATTTTCAATTTTGTTATCTTAATTTTGGTGTTGCATATTAGTAGAAGTTAAATAATGAACAATTATGCTATCAGTGCTTTCTGATGATATAGGAACATTGAATTGATTGTATAGGAACGTTGAACTCACTCTTAAAATTGCTTGTTTTGATAGCTAGATCCATCTATAATGTTCATTCAAAATCTGTAGAACAATCCTTGTCTTGCTTATTTTGTATATGTGTTTGATGTTTAGTGTCCCTTTATTGATAGTCACCTACCCTAAAACCTTGTAGGAAACTTTGGTTTACATATGGACATACATAGTTCATTAACAAAACCTTAAATTGTCAATTTAGATAGATTTAAAACTTAAATTTTTAGGGACTAAATTTCATGAAGTATATGAAAACTATTGAGTTTTAGCCTAAATCCTTGTGGTCACATACCTGGGGTATAGCTGACAAATTATTGCATTATAATATGAATCATGTGAATCACAGAAGCTTTAAACTTTTTCTTTTTATAGCCCTACCTGAACCCATCCTTCCATCCCTCCAAAAAATTTACCCAGTAAGTGTTTCTTATAAATTATAATATTATGTCAAGTATATGTATATATATCTATAGTTATATGCAATACCAATGTGATTATAAAAGTTACAAAGCTAAGTACATGGTAACATGGTGTTGTATAAATGGAGGCCTTGACCTCTAGAACATATAAATGTTTCATATAATTTTTCAGAAAATTCTGGTACTTTTTTGATTATTGGTATGCAATGCAATCTGGTCAGTTATGTTAATAGTGGATTTTTTTGCATGATCTGCATGAGTATCACTAATGTGGATTAAATATACTTGGTCAAGGCTTATTTGGCTTTATTATAATTTTCTTCATATTATTTTATATAATTGCACAGCATTTGTGTAGTTAATGCCTTAGAAAATTTTCATCTTAATTGATATTTTGAAAAGCAGGGGAAAAATTACGTTGAACAATTAGATAATCTTTCCACGCTTCACTTGATTTTATCAAACAGTACACCAAGGGTAACATTAGTACACTTGTCTTAGCGACATAACATTAAGAATTCTGATGAATTAATTGAAAATATTAAAATGAAGTGTGCCTACTAGCAGAAATTTAGTATGTATATTCATAATACATAGGTGTTTTGATTCTTTTCCAGTTTTTTCACATTCTTCCTCCAGAATTTTTTTCCCTGCATAGTTCCTTCTTCATGATATTTATTTTAAAATAATAGTTGTTTGTTTGGAATGTTTGACCAACCTTCTGAAACCACATAATGTTGTTGATCTACATCATACATGTTGGCTTTCTACATATGTACACATGTATGTATATAATTTATATGTAAAAGGAGTTGTTTTTTAAAAAAACTTAATGGACATATTACAAAAGAGAAGAAATACACAATCCAGCTTGTATGATCAGCTTTCAAAGAAGTCCTTTATTGCTATATACAAAATATAACAATAAACTTCACATGCAACATCAGTTAAACACAATTTAATCTATGATATTTGAGTTAACCCGATGTCCTTGGTTTTGAACATTAGTTAGGATGCACACATGTGACCTGCTGCATAGTAGAGTCTCACTGTAAGAATAGAGCATGTAATTATGGCTATAGTGCAGTTCAGTTTCTGATGGGTCATTACTAGCTGAAACTGACAGGAAGCTTCAGGCATCTGGCTGTCTTTACAAAAAATTTTTTTTTAAAAAAAAACCAAACTTGTGCTATTAATGAACTATTACAGTGGGATTTTAGTATAGTTAGGGACCAGTCTTTATGCTTTTAAGTATTGTGAAAAATGAAAACATCAAGTACAGAAAGAAAATTACTTATTTAATTTTTTGTCATTAAAAAATAGTAGCAATTGTTTCTTTTTTATTTTAATATATTTTAGGAAGCAATAAAAAAAGCTGAGCTTTCCCACAATTTCTGGGGAACAGCAGGAAACTCCAATTACACAAATATAGCATTCTGTGATGGCTGAGAACAGCAGTCAGCACCAGACTTGAACAGTTAGCCACAATACAAACATCCTTCAAAATGGAATGTCGTAATAGCAAGACAGGTAAACCAGGTTTAACAAATAACACCACTTGGAAAGTAACTTCTTTGCCATTTGTCATCATTGTCCTTCCTCTGCAAATATTTTATTCTTTAGCTCATACTGAAAAGTCTGAAATAATGTTTGCATACTTATTTATTGTCTCAGCTTTATTTTTCTTTAAGATCCAGTTTCAATGTAAAAAGAGTGACATGTTTCAGCGTACAAAGTATCTGACTCTTAAACCCAAAAGATTCTTAGCTGGTTATGGTGATCGGTGATCCAGTATTTGGGAGGCTGATCTAGGAGGATTATGAGTCTGAGATTAGCTTGAGTTACATAGCAAGACCTCGTCTCAACAAAAATAAAAGCCTTTTATATTGAAAATACATCTAAAGAAACGTCACTTGAAATCCTACGCTATGTGAAATCTTCTATACGAGTATAATAGAGAAACATCAATTTACTGTGTTGTGCTTGGGGTGGAAGAGGTAGTAAACATCCCCATTTTTACTTCTGTGTTTATTTTTCTAATTTTCTGGCTTTTCCTTCATAACAGAGTCTGATTTCTGATAGTATCCACTTGCTATGGCCCTCTCCATTCTCCTTTTGTTAATAATCCTATTTGTATCCCTGTGGGGTAAATCAATATTAATTTAATCCCAAGGCCTTAAAAAGTACTAATTGTATGGGGTGGGGTGGCACACACTGGTAATCAAGCAGCATGTGTGAGAAGGAGACAAGAGGAAGCAAGCTGGGCTTCATAACTAGAGCCTGTCTCAAAACCAATACAAGGCCCTGCATGATGGCACATGCCTTTAACCCCAGCACTCTATGTGGGAGGCAGAGATAAGCAGATCTCTCTTTGTGAATTCAAGGCCAGGTTGGTCTACTTGGTGAATTTCAGGCCAGTCAGTGCTACATAGTGACACCCTATCTCAAAAAACAACAAACAAACCCAACACCAACCAAAAAAAAAAAATCCAAAATACAAAATAATCACCAATAGCTAATAGCTAATTTATGATCTGCTAGATAGGAATGTCCTGATTTTCATTCAGGTGTGGTTATATTGCTATTTTAAATATTTCAATTATCCTCATATAGTTGCTATAATATTGATGCCTATGTGGATAAAAACTTACTCTGCTCCCTCTTACATAAGGTTTGTTTTATATGAAATCTATGCATTGTTCAGAAGAACAATCAGTGGTCCATCTGATAGAATAAACAAATCACCTTGTTTCTTTTTACTAATAATAACCATCACTTACTTAGTGTCCAGAATTTTGCACAAAATTTCTTTAATCCTGAACAAATGGACTTTCAAGATTTATTCATGTTTCAAGGATTTTTAATTGATCCACAAAATTAAAAATAAAACACCCAGAAACTGGCATTTTTCCCCCCAATATAGGGTATTTCCTAGAAAAAGAATACTGTAGCATTTACTAATATAATTATACTTATTTTATTTGCATATGGCTATTTTCTGTATGAGCTTTTAAAAAGATAAACAGATGTGGCAAATTCTTAACTCATAGTACTTAAAGTTTTATAATAATAATAACAAAATTTCGCTGTATTAATACAAAGGCGCATTTTTCATATTTTTCAAAAATTAATAGTATTTCCCCATTTTTTGTTTTTTGTTTTTGCTTCAGACAGTATCTCTTATGTAGACTTGATCTTGCTTTGTAGTTTGTGCCACTAAACCCAGCTTTTTCAATTGGGTTCTGAGGATTGAATTCTGGTCCTCTTGTGGACTGAGCTATCTCCTCAACCCCCAAGGTAAAATAATTTATTTTGAAAATTGATAATTTTTAGTTCACCTGCTATATGAATGTGCAAGAAAAAGAATGAAAGATTAGGAACATAATACTATCACCAAAAGCTGTATTATGGGACAGGATAGTACTACTTTTACTAGCTTAAAAAAGAGCTGCACAAAACATCTAAGTGTTAGTAGCATTAAAAATGAGTCTTTCTGTAGGAAACATTATATTTTAAAATGAAATGGAGATCTCTTTTAAAGGTTAAAAACTCATTCAATTTTATGTCTTACAGCGTTTATATTGAGTTCAGTATTGTATAAGTATTAATTCAACTGTTAACCTAAAAATTTACAGCGACTTTTGAAAGAGATGTATCTTTGCTCTGGAAATTGTTATTGAATATGTTAAAGCTGTAATAAAATACTTCTTCTATTAATGTGGTTATTAAATAAAAATACAAAAAAAGCTTCACAGATGATAAAAGTCTGTCTGACTTTATCTAGAAAGTGGTTTGTTGTTCAGACTTCAAGTTTTTGAATACAATATTGTGACACAGCCTCAGAAAAATGATACTATAAATATGTTACTATAAAATGTGATACTATAAAATGTGGCTATTTGCTGTAATTAGTAGAAAAGTTACAAAAACAGATTTTCAGATTTTTTATGGAATTCCCCTTGGATTTATTTTACATTGGCATTGATTAAAAAGAAATGAAAGTTTTATATCATAAAAAAAAGGTCAACATTTATTATTTGGAAAATACTCTCAGGATTTAATAGATCATTACACATTTGGTCTTTTGAAACTCAAAAAAAAATTATCCTAGCAATGTAATAGAGATATCTACCTTTTATTAATAAAAGATCAAACAGCAGTAAATATTGTCCATCTGGAAAATCTTTTCATGGAATCTATATTATTGGTTGAATTGTTTTTCCCATTGATTTTAGTTGGTGTTTTTTGGGGTTTGTTTTTTGAGATAGGGTCTCCCTATACCCCAGGCTGGCCTGAAACTCGCTGTGTAGACCAGGCTAGCCTTGATCTCAGAGTTCTGCCTGATTCTGCCTCCTGAATGCTGGGATTAAAGGTGTGCACCACCATGCCTGGCTTTAGTCTGTGATTTTTAAGACTGCTTTTTTCCTTTATTTTTGTATTACTCCTCATGTGCTTTCTAATGTATTTGCTTAAGTTCTTCACCTCCTTATTGTATTTAAAGAAGTGTGTATTTTTCTTATACATATAAGTGGATGAAGAACCTTTTTAAAGGAATTGATTGTTTGACATCTTTCTTAAACCAGAGAATCTTTCTAAAGTATGAATGATTACCCAGAACTGATGATTTATTAAGGATAAACGTAATTCTTATTTACTTAGTTTCTTTTAGGCATGTCCTTTTTTTTTTCCTAAAGTTTGGATTTCTCCTTCATTTTTCTCTTAGCATGACATGACTTTTTGTGTAGTCATAACAGAAGGAACAGTAGAGGTAAGACTGGCCAAATTGTTGGCCCAAGGTCATTCAGTATCTTAATAGAGTGGATTTTACATCTCTTCAGTTTTAATCTGACAGTTACTGATCTCTTTTCTTTAAGTAACTAAACAAATTTAAAAAATTTAAAGGAGGCACGTGCCTTTAATCCCAGCTTGGAAGGCAGAGGCGGATGGCTCTCTGTGAGATCAAGGCTACCCTGGTTCATATCATGACTTCCACGTGGGCTCTGACTAGGGAGACCCTGTCAAAAAACAAATCAACAACAATAACAACAATAAAATTTAAAGGAAATTTAAGCAATTTTAAACTTAAGAAATGACTTCAGTTTTGAATTGAATGTTTGCAGTGCTAGGTAGTGGGAATCAGCTTTAGTAGAAAGCTTTCAGGGTGGGACTGTGAAGCAGGGACCTGCTCTCCTTTTTAGTTGACACGAATAATTGTACCTACCACTTTTCTTATCATCTGACCGAAATTATATCTTATATTTGATTTGTCAGAAAATATTTAAGTTCAACAGTTTTAAAATAATACTGACCTAAGTCCAATTTTTTACCTAAAATATAAAGACCAAGTTGGGCAGAAACCATGCATTTGTTCTTCTTTCTGCCTTTAGATTTTACTGTAAATTGGAGCTCCTTTTAATGTTAGCAAGTACTGCTATTAGAAGTGTAAAGCTAAAACCTAAATTTAGGTATAACAGCTTTATCATATGTGATTGGAATAAAATTTTTCTTCTGGGAAGAGAAAGGTAATCACTTCTTGATTGTTAAATATTAGTGCTAGAAATATAGGTAATGGCACAAGGGAATATTTGTTTTTTGTCCCCTTGTTTTTATTTTGTGAGGACTAGCATTAAATGGTACATTACCCTGTTTCTTTGTTCTACCACTTAGGTATTCAGGTAAAAGCCTTTTTTTTTTTTTACCCCCAACTATTTAGATGTTATCAGTTGGCATAGTACCTACAAACCTTGGGTTGATGTGTTTGTTGCAGAATTAAGAATCCTATTCTAGTTGTTATTGTGCTGCTGTAACCCCCCCCCCACCTCCTTTTTAAGTAGATTTTTACTTGAATGGCAAAGGGGAAATTTAAAAAAAAACTTTTTTTTTTTATGGGTTTAGAATGTATTTATGGGAATTGAGGATGTGACTCAGTTTGTAAGCCTGTCTACCTGGTGTGCCACTTGGCTCCAGGCATTGCATCAAACAACTGGATGTGGTGGTGCATGCCCATAATCCAAGTCGTAGGAGGTAGAAGCAGGAGGATCAGAAGTTCAAGGCCATCCTCATCTATATACTGAGTTTGAGGCCAACCTGGGCTAAAGAACCTTGTCTTTTTATTGAGGTGAACCTGGGCTAGAAGCCCTGTCTTTTTATTGAGTTGAACCTGGGCTAGAGACCCTGTCTTTTTAGAAAAGGTCTTGATGAATATATACTGAAAGTCTCTCTGTTCATGTGATGGTGTATTTCATATTCCAAACTTGCTAATAGAGAAAAGGTCAGATATAAAAATAGGCTTTAGAACAAGAAGTACCCATTAATATTCTTTCTAATAAATGCCTTATTTAGGCCTGGGTCTCACACAGCTAATAATGCCTTTGTAAATAACTATGGTTAGTTTGGTAAAGATGTGTTGTTTTTGTGTATCCTATCTTCTTTTCCTTGCCATTATCTTTTCAAGTACTGTTCATGTTGAACTTCTATCCCTCTCCCTTAAAATACAAAAGCAAAATAAAACAATTTTTAAGGTCTTAAAAAACTGTAAGTACTATTTATATATAGAAACTTTTGTAGGCTTTGAGAGGAGTGTTAAGTGGCAGTTAGAAAAGTCTGTTGCCTTGTGCTTGATATATCCTTTGTACATAAAGTACATCTGTTCATTGTAGGAATCATTAAGGAGATACATTTATGGCTTTATATGTTATTGGGTAGAATTATGGTATGTGTAATAATATTTTACTGCTGTTCAGTCTTTTGCTACCATAATGATATACTCAAACTAAGCAGTAAAATACCTTAGTTTTTCAGATACCTTCTGGCTCATTCTAGGTACTGGTGAAATCTGTAGTGGTGAAAGCAAATCTGAGTTATCAACACAAAGAAAACTTCTGTTTTAAAAGAACCTAGATCAGGGATGGTAACAGTTTTTAGTGTATGTTTTAAGGGCTTTGTATTTTTCCCATTTTCTTCCAACAGGATTCTTTTAGTCCTTCTGTACAGCTGCACCTTGTACATCAAGCTCCATGTAATGTTCCTCCTTACCTCTCAAAGAATGAATCAAGTCTTGGGGACCTCTTACTGGGCTTTCTTAAATACTATGCTACCGAATTTGAGTAAGTAAAATTTTAAATTGTGTTTGTTCTTTTATAAACAAGTAAATGTGATAGATTTGGCCAGAAGCTACCTTTGTTAATTTCAGTGTTATAAATAGGTTCAGATATGTATAGTTTATGAAATATAAAATCTAATAGTTAATTATTAGAAACTAAGTAGATTTCATATTCCTCACTAATAAAAAGTTCATAGTATAATAAGCCTAATTTTAAGGTTTATTTTAATTATGTGTATGTGTGTGTCTGTGTATGTATGTGCATGTGAGCACAGGTGTCCATGGAGTCCAGAAGAGGGCGACAGATCCCCTGGAGCTGGAGTTACAGGCAGTTGTGAGCTGCTGAACATGGGTGCTGGGACCCGAACTCAGGTTCTCTGCAAGAGCAGTACGTTCTCTTAACCACTGAGCCACCTCTCCAGCCCAGATAAGCCCAATTTCAGTTGATTTCAATTGTGACTCCATTTTATGTTGTGGCCTCATTCTCTAGTAGGGTCCACTTGGGGTCTTTGTTTTAGTTCTATGTAGGTGCTGTGTAGTTAGACATCTGTTTTCAAGGTTCTTAAAAGTCATAGTAAAAAAAAATACAATTAAGACAAGCTTGAAATTTTTTAAGTGATTGACATCTGAATAAATAGCTGTATTAGGATGATTTGCAAATTGAGAAATACAGCTTTTATTTTCCTTTTCTGTTTTGAAGAAAATCTCTAAATATGTAACAAAAGGTAGAATCAGACTGAGCAGAACTTCTTTGGAGAATTCTCAGTCCAGGTAGAGTGGGCCTAGTGGTTATCTGAAGTGTTTCTGATCAATCTGGAAAAATTTGAAGGAAGAAAGGGAGGAGTTAAGAATTATATAAAGTTAGAGGTATAGTGACTTTATAACATTTTGAAGTGTTTTGGGGGCGGGGATAATAGTAATAAATTGCTATTAGTAGGTGGGAAAGTGCTTCCAAGCAAATTGTACGTATTACCTCATTCAGTTTCCGTAATCACTGTAAGAGATGGTGCTGTGCCCTTGTATTTTATCTATGCCCAGAGAAGCATAGAGAGGAATGAAATAAGAGAAAGGAGGTAATCTACCCAAAGATCATGTAGCTAGTAATTGAACTTAACTATGATGGTTCCTACAGCATTGGTATTATCTTTTCTGCTGTGATATAGGTAGTTCTAAAGAAACCTGACTTGTATTGAAACATAGGACATGAAAGAAGAAATAATATTCAAATCTCTCTCTCTCCCCCTCTCTCCCCCTCCCCCCCTCCTCTCTTTCTCCTCTCTCTCTCTCAGGCAGGGGTCTCCCTGTAGCACCAGCTGGCCTAGAACTCACTATGTACACAAGGCTGGCCTCAGAGAGATTTGCCAGCCTCTGCTTCCGAGTGTAGGGATTAAGGGTGTACATTACCATACCTGTCTATATTCAAATTCTTAAAAGTAAAGCTATTGTATCATGTTGATTTGTAGTTGTCTTGTCAGTGGCTAGTCCAGTGCTAGATAAGGTACTTGGAAAATAGTTGTTACGATTTTGAAGCAGAAGATGAGATTGTGGATCAGAGATCCTTAAAATAGCTTAACGGTTACTGAATGAAATTAAGAAAGGAATCAGAAAAGTACTAGAGGAAAGTAGCTGAGTAAGAACCACGTTAAAATATCCAGATGAAAATCGCCAGGCAATCATGATGAGAAAGGAGGAGGCTTCATTGACAGAACTTTTAAAACTGCAAGACATAAATCAACTCAGAAGGCTTAATATTTGTTCTAGAGTTATGTTTTAAGATGTCATAGTAACCGCGGCTGGAGAAATGGCTCAGCGGTTAAGAAGACTGGTTGTTCTTGCAGAAGACCCGGGTTCGAATCCCAGCACCCACATGGCAGCTAACAACTGTCCGTAACTCCAGTCCCAGGGGATCCAGCAGCCTCTTCTGACCTCTGTGGGTATTGCACGACACGGGTGCACTTACCTACATGTAGGCAATACACATATACACATAAAATAAAAACAACTAATAAAAAATATTTTTAAAAAAGATGTTACAATAACCACAGCAAATGTTTAGTGTTTCCTTAGTATCCTATATATATTAAGCGATCATTGTATTTCATTTAATCTTTGCAGCAACTGCCAAGTTTAGGGAATTTATTTGTATACATGAAGTGTGCTTGTACCAGTACAGCTAAATAGTGGATGAACTGGGATTCAAATTGAGGTTTTACCTCAAACCCTCACTCTGCACATGCATATGTGTGGTGTAAGCCAGGGGTTGACTTCAGGTATCTTTTTAAAATCGCTTTCCACCATTTTTTTTTTTTGTTTTTTTTTTTTTTAAACTAAGTGCCTCACTGAACCTTGAGGTCACTGATTTGGCCAGACTGGCCAGCCAGCAAGCCCCAGGATCCTCCTGTTGCTGTCTCCCCCATACTGAGATTATAGACTGGTGCTCCTACACCTGGCTTTAAAATTTTTTTAAAAAATTATGTTTATTTATTATTTTATATGTGTAGGTGCATGTGTGCTGTGGGCTCTTGTGGAGGTGAGAGGCCCATGAATATCATTTCCCTCCCTTCACCACATGGGTCCTGGGGTTCAAACTCAGGTCATCAGGCTTGGTGGCAGGTGACTTTACTTGCTGAGCCATCTTGCCTGCTCCCAAACCTGCATTTTCAATGTAGACTATTTTGACACTATCTATTATGTTATATAAGTTAGACATTGGGGGGTTAAGGGAAAAGATCCATAGAAGAAGGATGTATTTCTTCTGTGCACATTTGTATGTGATAGGAGAATCAGCTGCTTTGTTGGACTGAAACAAGATGGTAGTGGAGAGGACTTTGTGTTAGTTTAATATTAATAGAAAATAGCTTGTGAGGTCAAATGATTAGGATGCTGATATTTGAAAGATTTTTAAATGTCCTCATAAATACTTTTGCCAAGCGCATTATTTTATACAAGATATTTTTAAATATTTGACTGTAGGGGATTCAGCCAAGAATATGGTCAAAGTTATGAATTAGTTACCATTTAAAAGAAATCTGGTAGCTGCTAAACATGTGTGTAAGGATTTCTTCTGAACTTTACAATATTCAATTAAAAGCATTCTCTTTACTTGAAAGACAAAGAAGTAAATATTTGCTAAGGGATGTTTGAGTATATACTATACATTTTGCAGAAGTTTTATATGACCATTAAAAAACAACCACTGATTTTTAGCCGGGTATGGTAGCACATACCTGTAGTGCCAGCTGTCAATGGAATCTGAAGCCCAGGAGTTGAGTCTCGACATTTATGGAAAGCCTACACAATATAGCCAAATTCTTTGTCTCTTTGTCTCTGTGTCTTTCTCTTTCTCTCTCAAAAAAGAAAGCAATAAATGTGTGTAAAAAACTATTGCCAGTTGTGGTGGCACCAGTCAATAAATATGCAAATGCTGGAAAGGATGAAACAGGAAGATCATGAGTGTGAGACCAGCCTGGGCTATATCTTGCATGGTGGCACATGCTTGTAATCCCAGCCTCTAAAGGTAGAGGCAGGAGGATTGGAGTTTCAAGGTCATCCTTGACTATATTTATTGCAGGTTTGAGCCCAAATTGGGCTACATATGACCTTGTCTCAAAACAAACACCACTGATTTTTTTATTAGCTTCATTTGCATCTTAAATAGTATAAAGTAATGCAAGTATTATGTTGTAACCATGTTTGGTTCTGGTATGTAGTTATGTAACATTGCTCATTACATTGTTTTAAATATTTTATTATTTTTATTTTTATGTGTATGAGTATAAGGCCTGCATGTATATAAGTGTACCCATGCCATGCAGTGCTGGCAGAGGTCAGAAGAGAGTGTTGGATTCCCTGGAACTGTAGTTATGGACAGTTGCTAGCTACCATATGGGTGCTGAGAATCGAACCCAGGTCCTCTGCAAGAGAAGTCAGTGTTCTTAACTGCTGAGCCATCTGTCCAGCCCCTATGTTGCTATTTTTTAAAAAATGTTGTAAACATTTAGAGGGCATTAGAGCAGAGTCCTCCTTTTCTGTTTGGAACTCCTGGAACTACAGTATATGAGGGGTCTAAAACATTTTACTGTAAGCAACAACCAGTTCTGAAATATTTCCTTTGCCCAACCCACTTCTACATATATATCTAAATGACTTAAAGCTCTCTTCATAATGTATTTCCATATTAATCTCCCCCTTTGCCCTCTGCCAGGAATCAAACCCAGGGCCTTGCTCATAATAGTAGGCAAGCATTTTACCACTGTCCTGCATCCCTGGTCCTTGATCTTTGGAGACAAGTCTCTATACCCCAGGCTGACTTTGAACTTGTAGTCCTCTTGGGTCTGCCTCTTAAATGCTGTGGTTGTAGATGGTTCCCCACAGCTCTTGAGCCAAACAAAACTAGAAAATCATACTTGGAGGATGCTTTCTAATAATTAGATTTTTACAAGAATTCCTAAATTTATTTCTTACATATTTAATATAGAAAATTAATTCTAGAAATGCTCCATACAGGACCCAGAATCTGTACTCTTAAGAGATTCCTGATACATAGAGCAAGAGGAGGCTGAATGTTGGAGGGTCCCAAGCCCTGGACTTTCTCTGATTACTGATAAAATAGTGAAAGCATGCCAGGCTTGGTGGCGCACGCCTTTAATCCCAGCACTTGGGAGGCAGAGGCAGGTGGATCTTTTTGAGTTCCAGGCCAGCCTGGTCTACATAGTGAGTTTCAGGACAGCTGGGGCTACAGGGAGACCCTGTCTCACCAGCGCGCACGCGCGCACGCACACACACACACACACACACACACACACACACACATGCACACACAATAGTGAAAGCCAAATACTGCTGAAACAAAGACTTCTACCTGGTCCTCAAATTTATTTTTCTCTTGGATGCCAGCTGAGTAGTTGTATACTTTGAAATATTACTTGAAGAAAAGGAAAATAATTTTATTTATAATAACAGGAATATAAATAATTTTTTATAATCTTTATAAAACCATGTAAAGTTAGTATATATTATAGATCAGGTAAGATTTAAATTCAAGTATGTAGATACAGTTGTTTCTCTCAAAATTTTACCATTAGGCATGTAGGGTATAGCTTAGTTGGTAGTCTGCTTACCTAGCATTCATGCAGCCCCAGGTTCTATTCCCAACATTGTATAAACTGGTACTTGGCAGGTGGGGGCAGGAGGATCAGAAGTTCATGGTTACTTCAGCTACCTAGCAAATTCAAGGCTAGCCTGGGCTACATGAGACCCTGTCTTGAAAAAATAATAAGAGGAAATTTTACTGTTAACTACTGCATTTCATCATGCAAAAACAAAGAACATTCATATTTTTACTTACTTTTATCAGCAACTTTCCAGTAGAGATATGTGTTTTACCTACTTGTACCTTAAACATATTTTTGTACTATTTCATTTAATTCAGTGAACATATATTCAGTATCTAGTGTATATGAAGTAGCTAACTTGCATACTGAAAAAAAATCTCAGCATCGAGGCATAGAATAACATTAAATAGTAAGCATAAATAAGCATATTGTTAGATGCTATAGAGAAAAAAAATAGAGGGGGGGAAATGGGAATTGGGGTGTTGAGGTGGGAATTGGAGTGTTGAGGCAAATTTTACTATTCTGTAAGCCAATCAGGGTCAACCTTTCAACTGATACAATAAAAGGGAAATTATGAAAATAGTTGACATGGCCAATTTTTTTTTTTCTCTTCTAGCTGGAATAGTCAGATGATTTCAGTTCGTGAAGCCAAAGCCATTCCAAGGCCTGATGATATTGAATGGAGAAATAAATATATCTGTGTTGAAGGTAGTTTTCTCATGACCTCCTCTTCTGTCATCTAGTCATCATCATGGTACTGAGAGATTTAGTTGACTAATTCTAACTTTTATTTCTGTTAACAGTAATATATTTATGTTCTGAGGTAATTTACACATCTTTTACCTTTGCATTTTTAATTTGGAAAAGCACTTAAGATTCTTCAGTTGTGAGAAATACTAAATGTGAATTTGAACATTTAATCTTTCCAGTTGGTAAGATTTGAGTAGTTTATGAATTCCAGCTAATGAAGTTGATTTAACTTTAAAAATGAAATGATCTGAGAACAATTTTGTGTTCTATAAAGAATTTACATGTAGTTCAATAAATCATTTGAAACAGTTTCTTTGAATTAATGGAAAACTAATTTCAAGAGTTCTTGCCTAAAATGCTGGGTGCTTGGTTGGATCTTCAGTTACCCCCCCCTCCCAAGAGTAAAATTGCTTTCATAAATGCCAAATTGAAGACTTCTGTAAATCTTGAGGTGAAAAGGAACAGAAAATCAACATTTATAGTATACTGTCAAATTTACAATATTTTAATCTTTGATTAGAATATGTGTAACATCTTAAAAGGGTATATAAATGTGAATTTAAATCCTGTTTGGTATTTGATTTGCTAGTAAGTTGCCCAGTGGATATATATTATTTTCTTGACTTGTATTTTTTTGAAAATTAAAAATTTTTATAAATGCTATATACAATGTGATCCAATACAATTTGTCATATAATCTTATTCTATTAAAAAACAAAAACAACAAACAGTACTATGACAGTGAAGTCCTTTTAAAAATAGCCTCTAAGTCATACAAAATGCAGGAGTTTTCAAAATTAGGGGCTTGCTTAGAGTGTATGAATAATCTAAGTGAACTTCCTCCCCACCTTTTTTTCCCTCCCTTTCCACCCTTCCAGATTTATGGCATTCACAAGCCTTTTTGGTTTTGGAAAATATTCTTGGCATGATCCTTCTAAATAACGTCCCCTCCACCTCCCTTTGTCAGTACCCAAATTCTTAATCTGGTAAATTTTGCCTTCCGCCAATGTTTTTATATTATGTGGACTCTTCTGTCCTACATTGTGGGTGAAGGATGAGCCAGTGGTGGTACAGACATGGAAGATAGGTATGTTGGGCACAGACACAAAAACTTCATTTTCTCCCATCTTCTCTGCTTGACACTCAGATTTTTCTGTCTTTATCAGATTTCTTGTAGAAGTTGTTCTCACTGTATCTCTAAAAAACTATCGACTCACACTGTAACTCTGCACTGTCTTCTATTTCTTCAGTACTGAAACTCTACTTTTAAAGGCTGCTGGCTTTTTGTTGCTGGACAAGATCAGCTTTTAAATTAAAATTAAGTTTAAAATTACCCTTCCGTAACATCTGACATTATGCACCTCTCCTAAATGTAATGCTTTCTTCTTTCTATTACTTTTTTACTCTCCTAAGGATATGTCTTTGACCTTCTGTAATTCCGAACTCTTACTTTCTTCTATGATTTTAGACTTACCATACCTCTGTGGATGACCTTCATTTTTAGTCATTTCTCCAACTTGAATTCTACCTACCTTACTA